GCTACAGATGTGCGTGGTTGAGTCTGATGAAAAAGCACTAGTTATAATAAAGTGGGCTGCAGTGAGTATAGGATAATGGAGGGTCTGGCTTAGGGTCTGGGGTGTATTCAAGGGAATTCCTAGAGGGCCTCTTCGGTAACCGAGATGGTTTGGCTTCCGACAAGTACGGGCTTTGAACAAGCAGGGTTGAACAAGCAGAAGGGCAGGGGAGTTCGCTGAGGGTCCGGGGAGTTCGCTGAGGTTGCTTGGGAGTGCTCTCAGGGGCCAAGGGAGTCCTCTCGGGGGCTTGGGCAGTCCTCTCAAGGGCTCTGGGAGGGCGCCTACCGATCAGTAAGCGCACTCTCGCACTCTCCGTAAGCGCATTTTCCACATGCATTGGAATGGCATCAACAGTCATCCTTAGATGCACATGACTCTCAGCTGATGTCTGTTGTAAACCTTATGAACTAGGCCGTTTGTCTGTAGCATCAACGATGATTCAAATGCGATTTCCGGAATATCGACAAGCATGGTTTTGACATACGCTGGCCAAGCATGTATCGAACTACTTTGCTCTCATGCAACCCTTTGTTGCCCGGCCAAGTATTGTTTTTGTTGACATTCGATGGCCGAACAAGTATCGCTTGAACTACTTTACTTTTCTCTCATGCAGGCCTACCGATGAGAAAGGGCACTCTCTTTCAGCGACCGGTTCTCTAAGCAGCGACGTCGTGCCAATCTTTCTTTATTATGGTTCGGCCCGTGCACAGCGGAGTCAGGCTAGCAAGCAATCGAGTCATTTGCGATGGCACCCGTCAAGAGGAGATCCCAAGCTGGACATGCGAAGAAGCCTGTGTCGAACAAGAAAAGAGGAAAAGCAGAGCCTTTGCTTGGGGCAGCGTGGGCAGCATTCCTTCAGCATCTCGCCAACACCGGACCTACATGGGCGCTCATTGCAATTTCTTTGGCACATTTATTGTGCTGCCGCATCACGGAAATCTTACGATTGCAGCTTCAGGACATCCAATGGGAAACCAATAAGGTGCGGGTTCGAGAACTCAAGGGGCATGCTGAGATGCTAAAGCCCTTATCCCGAGCCGCAGTCTTGTTCCTGGAGAAGCTCAAGGCTGAAGGCGGTCGAAAGATTTCTCGCACGAGGATGTGGGGCAGCAGAGGTTTGGTGACTTTCATGGATTGCTGGAAGTTTCCACTCGAAGGTGAAGGTCATTTGTTTCCGGCTTCACGGAAGGACTGCGCCACACCACACAGGAACAAAGTGACTTGACAAGTACGCATAGCAGAACGTTCTTAGACTTTAAAGCTTAGGGTTGGTTTAGGGCTTAGGGGACATGAACTGTAGTTTGGACAGCAGAGGATGCGATGGCGAAAGCAATCCGGACAGCTCGAAAGTCGTTCGTGCCTCCACCCGAAGCAGGTGCCATTCAAGTATCGAAGATACGCAGTCATTCAGCTCGTCACAGATGTATCAACGACCTGAAGCAGAGCGGCACAGCGACATCCACGGCAATGCGCTTCTCCAGAATCCGGTCTTGTCAAGTGTTCAACGGCTACGGTCAACAATCAGAAGATCAGATTGCAGAGGCTTTGCTAGCTAACGCGAACCTTCAGCAGCTGTGGCTTGACATCTACTCCTGATTCATCCCAGAGTGGACCCTCTGATGACACTCGGACTCGGTGCGCCGCAGCCCAGCCAAAAAACGTCGTCATGTAGTACCTGACAGACTCAGAGTGACAGTTTATTTGTGCTTGAGTCGCTGACCGTGCCCATATGAGTCGCAGCTGCTGCGTTGTTTTTTCCAATTGTCAGGCATCGACGGATCCCCGCCGCCGAACTTCCAGGCAGCTGCTCGCTCTGAGTTTGCTACAGAATCAAAAACTAGATTCCGGAGCCGAAGCGTTGACTCCTGATGGAATCCTGAGAGTCTCAAGACAGAAGGTTGAAGTTGTCGAGTCTTCGTTTACAAAGGATGTTTTCGGATAGCAACCTATTGCCCTCTGTTCTGCGAATCTCATTGTGACCATCACCTCTTTAGCTCATGGATGAACGCCTTTGCGTCCTGCAATGATCGCTGCTCTTTCGCTCGAGATCATCCATGCCTCGTTGGCGTCCTTCACCCGTTGGGCCAATGTCTTCTTGTTAACGTCGTCGTTAGGATGGTTTCGCATCCTTATTTGGAAACCATTATTGTGACGAACAAATTGAAGAAAAAACGAGCTCCCTCCAGCCTCGTATCTTAACCTGGCACTGGTTTGTCCGATTAGATGCTAAACCCTAAACCATCCGAAGCACCATGACCGTTGGAACTCATCGTGTGCCAGCATCATCGCTGTCTTCGGCTTAACCAGCGCTGCTCTTTCGCTCGAGATCATCCATGCCTCGTTGGCGTCCTTCACCCGTTGGGCCAATGTCTTCTTGTTAACGTCGTCGTTAGGATGGTTTCGGATCCTTATTTGGAAACCATTATTATGACGAACAAATTGAAGAAAAAACGAGCTCCCTTCAGCCTCGTATCTTAACCTGGCACTGGTTTGTCCGATTAGATGCTAAACCCTAAACCATCCGAAGCACCATGACCGTTGGAACTCATCGTGTGCCAGCATCATCGCTGTCTTCGGCTTCTTCGGCTTCACCTCCGGCTTCGCATCGTCCGGGGGGCGCTTCCCATTCGCCGCCGACGCGGAAGAAGCCAGCTCCTTCTTGTCATCCTCCGGAACGTTGATCTGTGGCTCCACATTCTCTGTCGGCACAGAAGAAGCCACCTCCTTCTTGTCATCCTCCGTCATGTTGATCTGTGGCTCCCCTGTCTCCGTCGATGCTGTGATGTACACATCCGTCACCTAGACAGGACGAGGTGAAGAAACATGTTCCCGATGGCACATGCCGCACATGCATAACGTTCCCAAAAACGAACGGCAGGGCCTTCGGCTTGGCATCGTCCGGCGACTCCATCAAAGAATCCGCATCCGTCTCCTAGACCGGACGAACTGAAGAAAGATGTTTCTCATTTCACATGCCACACATGCATAACGTTCCCAAACACGAACGGCAGGGCCTTGGGCTTGGCATCGTGCGGCGACTCCTTCAAAGAATCCGCATCCGTGTCCTAGACAGGACGAGCTGAAGAAAGATGTTCCCGATGGCACATGCCACACATGCATAACGTTCCCAAACACGAACGGCAGGGCCTTCGGCTTGGCATCGTCCGGTGACTCCATCAAAGAATCCGCATCCGTGTCCTAGACAGGACGAGCTGAAGAAAGATGTTCCCGATGGCACATGCCACACATGCATAACGTTCCCAAACACGAACGGCAGGGCCTTGGGCTTGGCATCGTGCGGCGACTCCTTCAAAGAATCCGCATCCGTGTCCTAGACAGGACGAGCTGAAGAAAGATGTTCCCGATGGCACATGCCACACATGCATAACGTTCCCAAACACGAACGGCAGAGCCTTCGGCTTGCCATCCTCCGGCGACTTCATCAAAGAATCCAAAAGCCCGCCAGTCAGTCTCCGCAAGGAGGGTGTCTCTGCGGTGCCAAACGTCTGCTCCAGCTCGGTCTGCGAGGACTCAGCAGGCAAGATCTCCGTCGGAAGCGATGATGGGAAGACGAGCTCTCTGCGCACATTGTCTGCCTCCATCGGGGATACTTCAAACTTGTCGAGATGCGGTGGTTGCTTGTGATGTGTGTGTTTCTGTGTCGTGCCTGGACTGCCTCAGAGATCTCCCCCGGAACCGACGATTCCAAGGGCTGTGTCTCCATATTATCCACCGAGGAAACACCTTCGTGGAGACCATCGTTCACCTCCACCGGGGATACATCAAACTGTTCTCGCGGTTTGCTTCTGTGTGTGTGTGTGTGTCGAGCCTGGACGACCGGTGCCGAACCGTTCGCAGTAATGCAGAACATTGCCGGGCGTGCTGGAGCAAGGGTCCCTGATATTGTGGAGTAAGCTCCTGCAACATCAACCCGCTCCTCGAAGTCGTATTCAAGAGCATCGAGGTCCACGACGGTGGTTGACGGCATCGGCATTACGTGAAAGCACAGGGTCGGTCAAAACCTACAGGCTTCCAGCAGTCTAGCAGCGTATCTTGACAGGAGGTCGAAGCATGCAAACATTGCATTGACCAATGACTTATCCACTCCTGTGTGCTCCATGTGCGGACAGTGAAAGAAGTCTTTTCATCAGTCGTTGTTTGACAGAAGTCTTGGATGAATCAGCGATTGGTCGGCCCAGTCCCCCCAGGGCCTGGCCAGACCCACTGAGAAAATGGACGTCTCTCCACGGCAGCCAGCTTCTTGCAATCACTGAACACTTCCAAACGACATAAAACTCTTACAGGTTGATTGCCGAGGCAAGTCATCTCGAAAGAAATCTTGACTCCTTTCGTGCACCTTTCGGTTCCCGATCTGTGCTCGGAGGCTTACATCACCCTAAGGCAGTCGCCCTGGTTCAAAACAATTGTTGTCCGCGGGTACCACAAAGGCTTAGCGGCTGCCACCATCCTCTCGTTGACATACTGTCTGATGCGCCACACCTGTAGCACGAGCTGCAATAGTGAAAAGTCGCACTAGTAACTGCTGTCCAAGTGGCACAACGCAGAGCAGGCGATGACGTCATTGACGTCGAACGGAAATAGGAACCGGCGTTGGTGTGCTTGACGAGCTCCAACCTCGTGTTGTTGGATTTCCATCCTGCCGGCTTCTCCGGGTCCGGAGTCACATCGAACCTTAGACACTGCACCAACCTCTCTGGTCTCAATCTCTCTGGTCAGTACATGACAATGTCTGGCCCCACATGTCTGTCCAATCCAAACAGGACACCGGTCGGCGGTCTCCTGTCCTTGTGTGACTGCTGCCGGTCGGGTGCAGGTGTGTCCACCGAGAGTGTAATCGATTAGCCCAGACCTCTCCACAGTTTGCAAGGCTGCCCGCAACGTAGTGATTGGGCCGTCGCTGCCATTGGACTGACAGACAGTCGGGCTGAAGTGTGTCCATGTCACAACATCACTTTCAAGCCTAGCAAAGATTCATTGCAACATGTTGCATGGTGTCTGTGAACGGCCTCGAGAATAACCGATGCTGAGTCATTCTGCATCTCGCAGAACACCATTCTCGGCGCCAGTCTCTCGTCGTCCTTCGCTTTTTTGGCCTTTTCGTCGACCAGCCAAATACCCGGGCCGTGCATCACCAGCGGACCCTGTTCCTCCGCCGTCCATCGGCAGCTTTGCTTGGCCACCAGCCAGAGTTGGGGACCCTCGGTGATCACGAAGGAGACCGAACTGTTCGGGCCCGCATATTCGTGCAGCTTATTCCCAGGTGGGGTTGACCCGGTGCAAAAGCCGCCAGTGAAGTGGCTTTGAGCCTCGAGGGTTTCGGGAGCTGTACTGGCATCGCCGCCAGCGACAGGAGCTGGAGGATTAGGAGCAGTAGCCTCAGGACATACAACCATGAAACTGAACCACATCACTATCAATTGAAAGGCTTTTCAATCACACAATGTCAAGCACGTCTTGGCCGAGCCGCAACCGTTTCCGTCGGGGACGACCACTCTCTGTCGAACTTGCTCAGTAGCTCCCTCCATTCCGGTCCATGAACTGCACATCCCAAGAACTCATTCCGAATCTCCCGCGGGATACTCAATCTGCCATCCGCCATGTTGCAAATCGTCAAAGAGGGGCTTGAGACCTCAGCCGGAAGGTCCTCGGCTGCGGGCTGCCTCTTGAACATCGGCGACACCTTGTCCATGGGCTCTGTCTTCGTCTTCCATGCCTACAACGAGAAGACTTGTGGGATCAATAACAGGGCTGGAGCATTGGAACAGAACAGCATCCAACCAAGCCTCCATGAGGAAATCCCGCACCATGTCCTTGGCACACTTCCAAGGGCCTGTGGTCGAGGCAGTCGAGAAGACAGGGTAGCCGAGCTTAATGGCCGCTTTCTCCAAGGTGCCGTCGTAGGCGGTCGGGTTGAAAATCACTGCTTTGTTCGAGTCGCTCAACAGACTGCTCAAAATCTGAGTGGGAACAGACAGTCCACCGAGCCATTGGGCCAGCTCTTGCTGGTCTGTAAGGTTCCGTCGACCCTCGTTGCTGGACCAGAGATTGCCCCCCGGGACAATGAAGTCCCTACCTGAGCTTTTCCTTCTCAATCAATCAAAACCTGGATTTAGGATTGGAGGTTTACTCACCCTTTTCGGCCTCCAGCAGGGATGCTGCTGCTGTGAAGCCATAGTGCACACGCTTTGCGAACTCATCCAACGAGCACATCAGAACAGAAGCGCATTTGTCCATGTGCTCCTCAGCGAGCCTTAGCACAGAAGAGACGACATGACATGTGTCACTGTTTACTTTGCCAGTGACACAACTGTTGACCGATGAAACCTGACAGCTGGCAAGGGGCTTGGCCCCGATGGCATTCTGGCTTTTCATGTGCATCACTTCGACAACATGCGTCCGAATGTCTCGCTGCTGCGTCTTGGTGTTGAAGGCCGTCATTCTGTGCGAGTCTTCGGCCACTTTGGCTCTGATCTCCCTAAACTTGGCTGCACGAACAGTGTCGGCACGCTCCTGCAACGTCACCTCGTCCTGGGGGTCCAGCTTCACAGACGTCGTCTTCGGCTCGATGAACTCAGACCATATCGCGAGATGTTCGACTTTGAAGGTCGGCAGTTTCGCCGTGATCGTAGCTTCGATTTCCGACCAGTAATCCCTTAGCAACAGAAGGCTGCAAACTAGCTTAGAACGCGTTTAATGTGCATTCTCGTGGCCGGCTCATGAAACACTTCATCACACTCTGCTCCTTCTTGTCGTCCCACGAACTCAGCAGACGTGCTTTCTCCAACACTCTGGAGTACACACAGGCAAAGTCAGCCATCTTGGCAAAGTCATCCACCGATGCCCTCATCTTGCCCCGGGAGGAGGCTCTCAACTTCTTGCCGGCAACTGTGAAGCTGTGGATAACCAAGTCGATGTGCAGCCTCTGTGAATGCTCTGTCACCGTCAGCAAGTTCACAATCTCGAGAGGACAGTTCTTCGGCTTTGCCCCCAGGAGCCATCTGGAGCACCTAAACTGTTCCACGGAGAAAGCCGACTCTTTCCATTTGGCGTAGTTGAGGTGATTGGCGATCTTGTTCCTCGCTTCCTGACACTATCTTGTGGGAGTTGAGCCGTCATGCCGTGTCACCTGGTGATTGCCTAAAGTAAGAACGATAAGTAAGACAAGGCTCGGCTGAAGTGCCGGCAATGATGTTGTACACAGACTTGATTCGGTCTTCGTCCATGGCGTGCTTCATCTGCAAGCCGTCCATTGAGTTGTACTCTTCGATCACAGAATTCAAGCGCTCCATGGTGGACCAGTGCTTGGGGTGCTTGCCCTGCTCATTGCGTGTGTCCATGACCTTGCTGAAACGAAGAGCCAGCTGCAAAGTGTTCGGCGCTTGTCGTTCCGATCCACGATAGCTGAGCATCAAATTGCGGAAACTCTGGCTGACGCTGTCCACATTCATAGAAACCTGCGGCTGGATATGTGTAACTCAGTAGTATTGTACCAACCACAGAGATGACTCAGTATTACGGTGACTCTTGCTGCGAAGCTGCGACGACAGGCACCATCCAAGCCTTGTCCAGAAAAGGAAAGAGAGGCTTCAGCATGTCCCAGCTGTCGGAATTCGTGTCCAATTCACTTGCCGCGATCAAAACCGTCATGATCACGCTGGCTCGCGTGTAGCCCTTGATCACGTCGAAGCATGAAGCGGTCAAACCTGAGGGGAATTATCGGACGCATCTCTTACTTGTGATACTTGTCGTGCCGCTGTATGTCGCTCCATGCTACCCCGCCTCCATATCCGGAACACTTGATGCTCACGTCAAGCGGCTCGCGGGTCAAGTCTATGCCGCCGAAGAACATGCTCTCGAAGGTTCCGAGCCAGTCTTCGATGACAGGCGGTCCGTCCGTTGGTGTGTCGAACCTTGCATGGAGAAGGTTATTTGTGAACCTGTTTCCCAAACTCCAACAGCACTCGCTGAGATCGCGGCGCCAGTGCAATCAGAGGAACGTGCATGACGGATCCTGCAGCTTCGGGTCGGAGCACCTGCCGATAGCAAGTCTGCCATGCCCTCAATCATCTGTGACTTTTCTTAATGAAGATAAGACACCACTTCGTCCAGCTTCTTGAAGGCAGCCAGGCCAGAGCGCTTCTTAGCATACTCGTCATACCAAACCTCCAACTGGCTGCTGTGTAGTCGTCGATCTGTCTCCGACCCTGAGGCCAAGATCTCAAGCACCAACGCTGCCGGATGGGCATTGGCATGGATGGCAGCTTCATTCCGAAAAAGCTGGGTGTAGGCGAGTATGTCCTGTACGGGAAATGGATCGGAATCAAGAAAACTCTAGGACCATCATCATGTCATGTCTCGAGCTCGCAGGCTGCAGTCCTTTGCCAGCTGCAAGTCTCCACACGGAAACTTCTTCAGCTTCTTCTCCAGCTCTGTGCAACTGCGTTTGGCCTGAGGGCTAGCCAATGCCCCCTTGGAGTCGGGGTCGGATCCAACCTCTGGTTTCAAAGCCTTCGTCTCAGCTTGCTTCAGCATGACGGGACAACGAGGGGCGAAGTGTCAGCCAGCTGTTCTTGATAGCAGACACAGCTACGGTAAAATCAGCGGTGTTCTAGAACAACCCCAGAATCCCAACAAATGTCACGGAGCTTTCAACACAGAGCGACTGCCGACATCGCACGACCAGTCACTCTGCGAGTTTCTTGATATTTCACTGAAAGTCGACACGGCAAATTGGCAATAGACATACATCCAGTACCGGCTTTTGGCTGCTGTTGAACATAGAAAATGTATAAACGGAGCAAGTTGTTGAGCCTGGACGGGTATAATAAGAGAACGAACAAACAATCCCAAGTCTCGGACAGAGGAAATCAATGCACTCTCCGCCGTCGGTACCCGGATAATCAATGCACCCTCCGCCGGGAAATCAATGCACTCTCCGCCGTCGGAATCCAAAAATCAATGCACTCTCCGCCGTCGGCGCCCGGAAAATCAATGCACCCTCCGCCGGGAAATCAATGCACTCTCCGCCGTCGGAATCGAAAAATCAATGCACTCTCCGTCCGGAAATCAATGCACTCTCCGCCGTCGGCCCCCGGAACATCGATGCACCCTCCGCCGGGAAATCAATGCACTCTCCGCCGTCGGCCCCCGGAAAATCAATGCACCCTCCGCCAGGAAATCAATGCGCTCTCCGCCGTCGGAATCCAAAAATCAATGCACTCTCCGCCGTCGGCCCCCGGAAAATCAATGCACCCTCCGCCGGGAAATCAATGCACTCTCCGCCGTCGGAATCGAAAAATCAATGCACTCTCCGCCGTCGGTCCCCGGAACATCAATGCACCCTCCGCCGGGAAATCAATGCACTCTCCGCCGTCGGAATCGAAAAATCAATGCACTCTCCGCCGTCGGCCCCCGGAAAATCAATGCACCCTCCGCCGGGAAATCAATGCACTCTCCGCCGTCGGAACCGGAAAATCAATGCACTCTCCGGCGGGGAGTGCATTGATTATTGGTGTTTCCGAACTCCAAGCCGGGAGGAGCGGAGGCGGAGTCCGGGGCTCTTGTGACCGCAGGAATCAATGCACTCTCCGCCGGGGAGTGCATTGATTTCGGCTGTTTCAGTGAGACGGGCAGCGCCGCTCCAACCTAAGAGTGCATTGATCTTGTTCTCGGAAAGCGAACATATGTTCAATGTTCTCTCCGGGGTCGAGTGCTGCAACATCCTGGGTTTACTGATCATGATGTTTATTTTATGTTGAGATTCCAACATAAAATAAACATCATGATCAGTAAACCCAGGATGTTGCAGCACTCGACCCCGGAGAGGCCATTGATCCTATGTTCGGTTTCCGAGAACAAGATCAATGCACTCTTAGGTTGGAGCGGCGCTGCCCGTCTCACTGAAACAGCCGGAATCAATGCACTCCCCGGCGGAGAGTGCATTGATTCTTGGGGTCAACCGATCTCGGAGCCCATCCCGCCCCGTCCCTCCTCCATCTCAATCACATAAACAATCAACCCACGCCCACACAAGCAAGCACACAGACAAGCACACTCAGAGACCCACAAACACACACACACACAGACACAAACAAACACACACACACACACAAAGTTAAAGGCAAAGACACCCAAGCATGTGCATCCACACAGTCACACACACACACACAAACAGCCATGTATGTAGACGGGCACACAGGCACGCGCACACACACACGCACACAAACAAACAACACAACACAAGGACCCACACAAACCTTGGGAATGCGAATCCTCCGTACACCAAATCAAAATCCATGTAGGGTTCGGGCAAGTTAGGAAACACGAATTTGCACACGAAGTCCCACAATACACCCCATTGATTTTCACGGATTAGTCCACCGTCACACTTTGTGTCTCATTTTCATCGAAGTAGTATCAGCTAAATCAGAATCAGAGGAAAGTATCCGGATGTTAGTTGCACGATTCTCGGGCCTAGCCGCACACACGGACCACTGCTATTTTGTTGTAGGGTTGAGGCTCCAAAACGTGAGACCGGACACAAACACAATCCCCGAATCAATTAAGAGTGATTCGACAACGACTATCGAGTCCAAGAAATCAATAACTTGTTGCCGATTCAATGGAAGGACATTTCAGCCTGACATATGTAACCCAGGCTCGAAGATACTACACGGGTGAAAAAAATATGATCGAGATGACGTTTCCTTTGTCTGTGGCTGCAAAGGAAACCGGGCATGGCACGGGACACTCGCTGGCCAGACAGGCAAAGCACAGCTGCACTTGCAACGTGCGGGCACACTGGGGGCACGTCGTGCCGATGAGAGTCTCCGAGTCATCATGGCCGATGACCTTATGTCGCATGATGAATAAGAATCAGAAAGACATATCTTTGATGTATGTTCCGACCCACACTGCAAGCAATTCGTCCGTGACATGCCACAACAAAACTGACAGGAAGCCGGAGTATCAAAAGTGTTCAGGGAAATGCAAACAGTAACGGTGAGAAGTCGATGTTGTGCACAATCAGTATTTTGCCAGACAGACAAGAATGACTCCATATTGTGGGATTTGAAGCTTTGCTCATCTCCTGCCCGACGGACACACTATGCATTCTCGCATGTCTACCCGGAGTGACGTGGCAGGTTCTCAATATGCTGCACGAGTAAGGAGGGCCGTGGACTGAATGGGAGAAGAACTAGAAGCATGCGTGTCTTTTCCTATAATGGCCCATCCACATTGAGACTTGTAGCTTGCAAGACGACACATGGGTTACACATTATAAGATTCGTCCGCAGCAGAAATGCCTACTCTAAACTCCTTTTTAAAGCGATGTTCCTCAGCAAAGCTTGGCTCCCGACTGCTCTGATATCGCAGAAGAAGCCTCCGGCCAGAACATTTTGGTCCAAACTGCCATTATTACAATTGTCTGCAAGAGAATTATGCACAAAGCAGGAAGCCGATCGGAGCACATTTTGTTTCGTCTGCGAGACGTGGCAACAGTAGCCGAGGATCGGCCAAGGAATCTTCGTCAAAGACAGCAAATCATCGTCTGCTGAAAATGGCCTTCAGCGGAAGTGCCGGGGCCAAAGCTGCTTCGACAGCTTCGTGCAGGAACCTTCCTGCTTGTGCACGAACCGGAGGTGCCGGGGGCCGAATGTGCCACGGCATGTCGCGAAGAACGGCTTCATGCCAGAACTGGTTTCTGGCCAGCTTCTCCAAGTAATCAACAGCTCTGCGATAAGGCTCATTGTAATGGCTCAGGACTTTCTGGGCCAGCTCTTGCCACTCTTTCTGATTCTTCGCTGAGTGATTGTTCACCCGCCTGCACATAGCACATGTTGTCACAGAATGGAGGACCGACTCAACTCGCTACCACAGCATCAAAATCTCGTCGACACATGCATGTTTGCAACCCGGGCGCTTAGTCGAAGGAAGAATTTCCCATCCGTCGGCCTTTGTCCGAGGTAAAACCAGCAGAGGTGACTGCGAAAGCATGGGATCGCAGATGTGCTTCTTCAAGAGGACAACGACATCCAAAGGATCACGAGGGCCACGAAAAGACCCCTCTGTCACAGAGGTCATCAGAGCAGAAGGAAGATCTGTCCAAGCACAAACACACAGAGACGACTCCAAGCAGCAAGAGCAGTCTGCAGGAACATGTAAAGTGCTAATTGAAAGTGCTGCATCCAAGCCTCGACGCAGCATGAAGAAAAACATGTGGTTGGAAGAGGAGTCCTTCAAGAGCCCACCTTCAAGGCCTACACCGATGGTGGGGAGGTGATTCCTCCAATCTTTCACACACACAAGTCGCTCGACGAGCACTTCTGTGTTGGGCCCGAGCCAAGCACGCATGCTTGCCTTCTGTAGCTCTGACAGCAAGACGTGGCACACGTCATCTGGATTCAGCAACTTGCTCTCGTTGGCGATTCGTCTGGCTAGACATCCCCAGAGTTGATCTCAGTTCGTCAAGTCTTCAGCTGAGACTCCTTTTAGCCGACTTGCAGTTCAATGCTCGCAGCAGGAAAAATGACTCCGAGGGACCTATACGGCAATGGGTGTGACTCTTGCGAAAGTTTGCCAAACAGGAGAAGCGCATCCGATACTGGGCCACGAGAGCGGCCAAGTACAGTAACACATACTGGTTCTTGGCCTCCCGGACGGTGTTATCTGCCTGACTCAGATAATGCATTTGGTCAATCTTCCTTTGCTGCTGCTCCTGATGCTATCCAAGGTACGAAGAGAATAAGTGTATGTGGAAAAGGATGCCCTCTCTCCTCGCAGAGCTTCGAAACCTAAACAACAGCCAGGATCGCGAAGCCACAACAGGATTGGAACAGCCCAGAGAGAGAATGCATCTGACTTGCAGACGAGGATCTCGTTCGAGACTCAGAGCCGAACACTCCACCACACAAGCACTATCATGTTTGGTAGGCTCGTCCATGACATAGACTTGCAAGCTCAGCCCAAACACCCAAAGACCGTGCACCTTCAGTCGCGGTCTCATCTCACCGCTCCTCGGATTGTCACAACAAAAATGAATCTGGAGGAACCTGTCCTTGAAGCTTTCTGATGTATTGAGCCAAATAGCAAAGCAGCAGAGATGCGAAACTCTGGGTCACGGGGCATCATGAACTTGCTCTGGTCGCATCCATCGGTGCATACCACCATGAGTCCACTCAAAGGGTCCATGGCAGACTCTTGAAGTTTCCATGCGACCGCTCGGTCGCAATATTGATCGTGAAGATGACTTCGCAAACCAGACACTGCAGCCAACTTGGTGCTCATATCAGCAGTCTTGTCCTTCAGTGTCTGCTGATATGCATAGCACACAGCACATTGCGTGAACCTCAGATCTGGACATTACATGTGTGACAGCGAGCTCACAAAAATGTTAAAAAGTTGTGACAGGAAGCAACGACTTGTCACGGAAAGCAAGGATCGGTTTCCATCTCGCGGAGTAGATGTGACAGAAAGTCTTGTACCTCTCAGATGAAACCAACCATGACACAGACTGACCGAGTGAAAATGTGATATGTTTGTGCGGTGTAAGTCGAAACTCAGATCGGCACCCCACCCCGGGCCGTCCAAGCAAAGTCTGTGCTGCACGATAGTGCTGGAACAACTCTGCAAGATTCCCCGGAGGAAGATACTTGCGAATCTTCCTGCTGCTGGCCGCCAAGATCGGCGCATCTGGCTTGTCGATCCATTCGGCAAGCTCTTCTGTGTTCTCGATGTCAGAGGCTTTTCTTGGTCGGCATCGCTTAGCTCATCCTCTGTGTCGTCTGACCGGCCCGGTCTTCTCGGTGTAGCTCGACCACGACGGACATACCTCGCAAGAGCCATTTGCTCTGAGAGCCACTGACAGGTCCTATGAGAGATTATGAACTCCATACATTCCAAAAGGAATCAGACTAAAGGCCGCTGCAAGATTTGCTGAGGACAACGTCGGAGCAAGCACCACGACCTATTTGCTGCTTAGGGACTGGTGTGGCAAGGTCTCTGCAATAGCATCATAGGCATTTTGCAAAAACGCATCAACCGAGTAAGATTCCAGATGGCTGCGATACGCACGCTTGCCATGCCGGAGGTCGGGGATTGCAGACTCTACCTTTTGTAGACGATGAGATCCCACACCCAAGAGTTTGCTCAGACATTTGCGGCCCACTTCCTGTCCCAATAGGATGTACTTCGTCGGATTCGCCGCACTGCTGCCACAAGCCAATTGCATCTGAGCAACTCAGACTCAGAGTCAACAGTTGACAGAAGGAAAGTCAAGAGTTAAGCTGTCTCACCGCTTGTCATGTTTATGTGTTAAGTCAGCAAAGAGGCGAACCCATCTTGGTCAATCTTGCTCATGCCCCAGAATTTTTCCAGGAAGTTCAGCAGTTGCTGCTGCTTGAAGCTTTTGAAACATACTTTGCGTGCACCTGAGATGTTGCAGCAGCAAACACACAACTGCCGACAACATCCGACATCATCCATGAAAGATGAGGAACATGCTATGATGTCAAGCAAGCTGCAGTAGCAAACACGGCAGCTCAGAACTCGCTGCACTCTGTCTTTATCCATCCCGTTCTGTTTCAAAACACCGGATCTCCTCGTTTTTCTGGCCATTTGCTGACGCCGGGTGTTGTTGTATGGACGCTTGGCCTCTTGAGCAGGTTGACCCTTCATGTTGCTCCATGCCGTGGCCGAGTCGTACTTGTGTAAGGCTTCCCATCCCATCTCGAACACACGCGACATGCTGTGCACGACCTTGTTCCCATCTTCTGAGCTCTCAGCAGAGTCACAGCTGCTCTGCATGAAGTCGGAGCCGGCATCGTCCGACTCTCCAGGTTCTGCAGCGAAAGGACGGTCTCTGCTGTGATCCCTCGAGGCTGATGAGTGTCCTAAGCCCGACCCTCCAGATTCGGCATCGCGACATTCATTTTTTTCGTGATGCTCTGGCCCAAAAGGTCGACTGGCAGCAAGTGGTCTCGAACTCGACGCTGGGCCGTTGTCTCTCTTCCGAACTCTCTCCGCAGGCTCCCGACCGAAAGGGGCCATTCATGCCATCGACAGGACTAGACTAAGAACAAGTCGCAAGATTTTCAGAAGCATGAATGACTGGATGCAGTGGTTTAGGGCTGAGGGTTTAGGGTTGAGGATTCAGGGTTTAGGGTTCAGAGTTAATGCTTAAGGGCTTTGGGATTTAGGAGTCAGGGTTTGAGGTTCAGGGTTTAGGGTCTAGGGTTTCGGGTTCAAACTTTAGGGTTAAGGGTTTAGGGCCGAGGATTTTACAGTTGGAGCATTTCCGAACCTTTACTGACCAGCAAGCTTGAGTTCCCCCGCATCGTCCCATTCGAAAAAGTGTCAGTGCACGACACAACAACACCCACGAAAGAGCAACCAGGGATTGAGTCGAACTGAATCTTTCCCCGCTGCCACACGAAGGAGCTCTCGCAGATTGAATCGCTTGATTCTCTCGGCAATGCTGTGAGCAACGGAATAATAAGTACAGCTCGCCTCCCGAGATGCACAGACCACAACAAAACATCACATCCACTCATCGGCCGGAGGCCGGAGATTCATGATTGCCGTGGCCGGTCCTGCGATGCAACGATTCCAAGAACAATCGTTCAAGCCAAGGTTACCTCGTATGTTTGCTAAGAGTTTCTCCTCCAGGCAAAGTACCGCCATAAGCCAAACGAAACCACAGCAGGCCAATGTCATCCCATTCCCAGCCATTTTGTCGAGAGCGCTCTCAGAGAAATCACTCATGTCCACAGGGTCCTCAAGACCGGCTGATCAGACAAATTGTGCATCCAGCGCCATAAAGGTGGACAACAAATAATCCCCGAGCCGAGCTGCAACCTTGGCTGTCTGAGCTCCTGGACCCCAGCAGGGATATCCCAGCACGTGGAGCTTTTCCTTGCCGAGCAGAAGCCTCTTCTTGTCCTTCATCCTCAGAAATGCAATTCTTCTCAGAGCAAAACTGCAAGGAGCTGACTTTTGGTGTCGGACCAACTGCAACCGGGCAACCAAAAGTGGCATCCTGTAGTCAGACACTGCAAAGACCCGTCCTTGTTCTCCACTCTTTTTCTCTTCTTGCTGTTGCAAGACAGGTCATACACCGTGGAATCTGGGGCATCTTCTTCGAAGAAGCGCAAATGCCTCTGCTGCAACCTGGGCTGTCTTAACGGCTGACCATCATGACTATCACCTAACCCAGATACCGATTGCTATCCAAGGACGGTGTCAAGTGGGTCTTGTCCACGTTAGCAATGCCATAGACCGCTCTGATATCATTTGGGTTTGCCACAGCCCAGCAGGAGTAGTCGATCGGAAGACGAACCCCTCTCTCAGCAAGCATGAGATCTGCCAGCTCTTGCAGCGAAAGATCCTGACCCCATCTCTTCTTTGTAGTGTCATACAAGATCCGGTACGTGCGGTCGCGGTTATTGGGAATTCCGAACAGCTTGGGTGACAGCCTTCAGTGAGGATGACAGCTTCATCAGCTAATTCAACACAATGTTATTCAATGCAGATAGGCAGCTGGACCGCTTAAATAGAGAATCCCGGTAGATTGGAGGTCAAGAAGTCCTGTCCACAGACATATATAACACTAGAGTTTGGGACTTGCTGTGTACTGAAGCCCCCACCTCGGCATAGGAGTTCACATTCTCATGAATGTGGATTGGGGTTTTTCGCTGAAGCTGGAGGGCAGCCCAGTGCACATCACGTTGCTCACGATTCGCGAAGCCTTCCTGCTTGCCATACCTGAACAAAACACAGATCGCTCTACAGTGAAGACACTCCGGAGCAGCAGCAGCAGGTTTGCTTGTGTTGCCGAGAAACCGGGAAAACGAAACACAAGGTGCGGTTACGACTGCCACATCGCACATGTCCACGTTCACAGGACACCTGAAGATTGTGCTTTAGGAATCGCTTGTCTGTCTCTTGCGATTGTACGGAGGAAAACTAAGCTCTCTCGGCCAAAAGAATCTGAGTCTGGCACTTCCTTTCATGCTGCACACACTGTGCACAAGACCGCAAGCGCAACTTCGGATCTCCCTTTTTGCCTCTTCCGGAGTCTTGGAAACGAGACATGATGTCGCCGTACTTGCAATCCATCGGATAGAGCTTCTTGGCAAGCCGAAGACATTGGCTGTCTCTTTCAACCTGAGAAAATGACATGGCTCTGTTTTTCGTTTTACTCCATCACGAGCACAGATGGGAAATACTTCTTTGTCAGAGATGGCATGGGCCGAGGGGCCATGAACCTAAATGAAATATCCATCTGAATGCCCCATTTTTCCATTGCAGCTGCCTGAATGAACTCCGCCGCCTTCCGGGCACACTGCACTCCGGCGAACAAGTCGTAGCAGGACCATTTCACGGATCCTCGGACAAACCCAGAAGCCCCAGGAAGGAACACACAAAACTTCAGCGAACTCCGAACACAAACCAAGGCCGAGCTGCCAAGCCTCTCTTTGACATAGCCTGCACCAAAGACCAAAGCTGCTCGCTCCAGGAGCACAAAGGCCCATGCCCTCGACAGACTCCCGTCAATTCCAACCCTACAACTACAGACTGCTGTAGACATGAGAACCAAAAGCATCATCTTAGAATCAAGAGTCGAAATATCCGCCGCCGATTGCGGTAGAGGATACTCCGGCCTGGGTGATGTCAGACTCATACGGACGAGCCGCTTAGTCATTGAAAGCAAGTCTGCATGACGAATTATGCCAAGAAGCAGATTCAAAATGACACGGACCTCAGAATCATCAGAGTCGGAGCCAGAGCCACTGCCATCTTGGCATTCAGACATCGCACGAGTCTGCGGACTGTTGTTGAGGCTTCTTGATCCTGCTATAAACCGATGCATGAGACGAGCCATCCCCGCTATAAGCCGATGCATGAGACGAGCCATCCAATGTACTCAAGCACAGCAGTGCACATGCTCCGACAGTGGTTAACAAGTGAGAAGGCCGGGCCTTTCTGCTGACCCAGTCCAGGCAGAAGCAACCTGGCTTCATGACAGGAAGAAAAGCTCATGGCTTAACCCAAGATTTCACTCAGCGCCGAAAATCGCATCTTCCATTATAAACCCTACAGTTGTTCCTCTCGCGATCTCTCTGACTCTGACTCTGGCTCTGACTGAGACAGTCTATACATATACACATACGTATATTATTCTCTCTCTCTCTCTCTCTCTCTCTCTCTCTCTCCATGGAGAGAACTAGAGAAAGAAACAGAAATCCTCAACAGAAGTCCTCATCCTAGCTCTCTCTCTCTCTCTCTCTCTCTCTCTCTCTCTCTCTCTCTCTCACCCTCCATGGAGAGAACTAGAGAAAGAAACAGAAATCCTCAACAGAAGTCCTCATCCTAGCTCTAAATGCCAGTATTTCGCAGCAGCGTTCTGACATGAACAATTTGACAAAAGCTAGTTCTCCATCCCGAACATGAGTGATGCCGTACTGTGTTATCGTTGCGATTCCTGTGGCACATCTGTTGTGTCTTGTAAACCGCAGGCTTACGAGTGCAGCTTCAGAATATCCAAGAGAAAGACAAGAGAAGTTCGGGAAATCCAAGATCATGCATGACGAAGACGGCTGCAACATTTCGCCCATGTTTTCCACTTTCAGGCTTCGCAGACGGATTGTGACCTTTTCAGGAGCTTGACACACCTGTGTGCGAATTCTATCGTTATCATGCCAGGACACATGTCATGCGGATGATAACTCAAGATAAGAGACAGGCTGTCTGTGTGATTCGTGACGCGCAAGTCAAATGCAGTTCGCACGGCACTGTCAAACTTGTGAAACGACAAGGGTTGACAATTCGAAGGAAGACTACAGGCCAACCATATCAAACTTTCGCCATATGTCGTATGACCTCAAGCAAGCGCCACCATGCAAGAAAACATCGCAAGAATTAGAGCCCGAGATAGGCCCTACGTAAGTGGTCCTTCACCATGAGATCTCAGATCGCGCCACCATGCATGCATGTGTGCTTGTCAGTGAAATGTTGGTCTTTTCCGGTTCCGGTAAATTGGGTCTGGAACCCAATAATCGCTTCCTCTTCAGTCAGTCAGATTGCAACAACCGGCCAAGACAACAATTGGCTGCATCAGGGAAAAGTAGTTCATGCGATATTTGTTTGGCCATCGAATGTCAACACGATGCTTATGCCGGAAGTCGCATCTGAATCATCGTTGAGACTTGGGGTAGAAGCCCTAGGGTTAAGGGTTTGGGCTCATACCGTTTACAACACCCACCCAAACAGGTAGTGCAGCTGAGTATCACTTCAATTTAAGGACGATTGGTGATGCAATGCCAACGCATGCGGAACAACACAACCCGAAAGTCTCTGGAAGGCTATGACTATGAGCTCACTCCTGAACTTCGGAAAACCCAACCCTAGAACCCTCAGGAATCCCTCCGAATGGCAACCAAAAAAAAGAAGAAGAGTGCCTTTAGCCTGGTCTGAAAGTCTCTGGAAGGCTATTATGACTGAGTTCAGTCCTGAATTACTGAAAACCCAACCCTGCAACCCTCAGAAATCCCTCCAGGGGGCAACCAGAAGAAGAGTGGCTTTAGCCTGGCTGATCTGAAAGACTCTGGAAGGCTATGTAAATGAGTTCATTCCGAAGCCCTAGCAATCTTCTGGAATTCTGAAAACCCAAGCTCGAAACTCGAAACCCTCAGAAATCCCTCCGGATGGCAACCAGAAGAAGAGTGTTTTTAGCTTTGCTGATCTGAAAGTCTCTGGAAAGCTATGTAAATGAGTTCATTCCGAAGCCCTAGCAACCTTCTGGAATTATGAAAACCCAACCTCGGAACCCTGAGAAATCCCTCCGAATGGCAACCAAAAGAAGGAGAGTGCCCTTAGCCTTACTGCTCTGATAGTCTGTGGAAGGCTACGACTATGAGCACCCTCCGAAGCACTAGCAGTCTTCTTAATTTATGAAAACCAAGCCCCGAAACCCTCGAAAATCCATCCTCGGGGCAACCGAAACAAGAAGGAGAGTGCGCTTACTGATCGGTAGGCGCGCTCCCACAGCCCTTGAGAGGACTCCCCAAGCCCCCGAGAGGACTCCCTTGGCCCCTGAGAGCACTCCCAAGCAACCTCGGCGAACTCCCCGGACCCTCAGCGAACTCCCCTGCGACTTGTCGGAAGCCAAACCATCTCGGTTACCGAAGAGGCCCTCTAGGAACTCCCTTGAATACACCCTACTGAGCCACAGCCGCCATGCCCGAAAAACACCAGGCCTGTGCTCCGAGTGGAAGACACACAGCAGAAGGCCTGGGACAGGGTTTTTCTTCCCTGCTGCTGCTTCTCTACTTCTCTGTCATGTGCTACGGCTTCTGCTTTGCTGCCAAGACGACAACGACGTTTTGCATGTGTGGTGCGGCATGGCTGCTCTGTTGCTGTGGTTCGGCGGCTTGTCGTTTCCCTGCATGGATGCTGTGTTTCCCCTACCAACAGAGACTTTCGGGCTCTTCACAAGTCTCTGCACACGGGTTGGCCACCGTGTGGGGTGCAGGTCCGGCTTGAAAGCACATGGGGTGTTGAAGCCAACTCGCAACGAGCTCGATGCGAATGACAGCGAGGCGATGAGCTAATGTGCTCGCTGGCACCCCTGCTTATCTGGAGGCACGAGGTCATATCGTGCGGGGGCAGGGCCCACCCCGTGCCTATGGCCTCCTGCCGATAGACCGGAGTATCGCGCTGGTGGGAGGCCGTTGGGATTGCAAACCTGTGGGTCGTGGCGACGGCCCTACCGAAGAGGTGCCCGGCACATGACACAGGCACCTCTCACACCATTGGCCGGGTGTGGGGCGAGGGTCATTGCACCGCTGGGGAACGTGGCCGCTTTGGGGCCAACCTGCCAGTGCCGGCAGATGACAGCAGGACGAATGCGCTAATGTGCCTGCTGGGGTGGCCACGAACCTCGCTTGGCGGGAATCTGCTGAAGTGTGCAAGCCCTCTTGTACGGGAGGCCATTGATGCTCTTATGTGTTGTCTTTTCATGTTCTGGTTCTTGACCCTTGCGAGCCCTGACATCGAATCGATCTTCTCCCCGTTTCGATCTGCTTGGGGCGGCCTTTGTTGCATGGTGCTTGTCCGTGGTGTTGCACACTACCACTACCACTACCATTTCCAATGCCACTACCACTACCACGACTACTACTACTACTAGTACTACTACTACTACTACTACTACTACTGCTACTACTACAACCCCGAAGAGGGGTGAGCCCAGACCCCGAAGAGGGGTCAGTAAGAACCCCGAAGAGGGGTGAGCCCGGACCCCGAAGAGGGGTTATTACCAGTACTACTACTACTACTACTACTACTACTACTACTACTACTACTACTACTACTACTACTACTACTACTACTACTACTACTACTACTACTACTACTACTACTACTACTTGTTCTGCCACTAGTACTACCACAACCCCCCCCACCACCCCACCACCCCACCACTACTACTACTACTACTACTACTACTACTACTACTACTACTACTACTACTACTACTACTACTACTACTGCTACATGTCTGCATGTACCAGTAGCTAACTCTGAAATCCCAGCAGTTTTGTATTCTGCGAGGTGTCGGAGAAATCATGGAACCATTTGGATGCATCGTGCTGCGAAGCCTAGAACAACGAACCTGACCATCAGTCATATCTGCAAGAACCTTGCAACGGCAGCCAGCCTCCTCACGAAGCCACCCTCCGGCAAAAGTCAAACACTGAGAAGCATGTCCTGGCGAGGAAAGATGTGGTGCGGCGGTTGGATCTTGACGAGGCGCCGACACTCGAGTGATTGGGCTGAGGCTTGTGCTGTTGGCAGGATGTATGTAGGAGCACCCATCACATGTTGATCTTCAAAGCGACCAGCATAGTTTCTTCTGCGATGAGACGGTGCAGGTGCTCTGGTTTGCTTCTTGGCCAGTGTCCCTGTGGGGGCCTGCGTCTCAGACTCTACAGAGTCTCTTGCAGTCCATTTTCGTTTTCGAAATAGCTGGCCCACACACATTGCTTGCATTGCTGGAACAGCAAATATAAGTTCATCGAGACAGGGAGAAAGTGGCCTTTCCTTTACGACACAACAGAGCAAGAGATCACCAACTTGAGGCAACTGACCATGCTTGTGGATGTCTGCCGAATACATAACGTCTTTGAGCCCCAAAGCCCCAGTGTCAACCCATCACCCGAAATCCCGCACAAATACCGGCAATCTCCTTGAGGCTCCTCGGAAGGTGTCGATGATGCAGTGGCCTTGGCACCGCAGCAGAGCAGAGATTTTGTTCGTCAGCGGATCACACATGCAACCACCTCACCGTCGACTGTGTTGCTCAGCCAGTGGGCCAGTGCTCATGATCGAAGCATGCAGCATGCATATTCTGTGCTGTGTATGAGCATAATACCCTAAAGCTGTGTGAAATGTCCATCTGTAACCACCGAAGGGAATCGTGCAAACCTTAAACTTGCAACCATCCGGCCGTGGCACTCCTAAGACCTGCATACTGTGACAAGTTTCGGAACACGTTCGTTCAGTTGACAGGTCTCTCAGGACTGCGTGTTTCTTCTGTTTCCGCGGAAGCAATGGCCTCTGGAGGGGGTTCCAATGATGGATGGTGGAGCGACGAGGACTGGCGAAAATGGCGTGAGGATAATAAGTGGGCCTCTGCTGGCGGAAAGCAGGGAGCGGATGCGGAGAAGAAGCTTTCTCTGAAGCAAGAGAGAATCAAGGAAAAGGACAACTTCGTGCAGAAGCAGCTCGCAGATGCAGCAGCACTGCTGCAAAGGTCAAGTGGCCAGTCTTCGTCCTCGTCCAGTTCCAGTGCTGCTCTCAAGTTTGAGATGCCGTCGGAGTGGTCGGTGACTATATTCAATGCGGACGAAAGAGACAAGAACGAGAAAAGGAAGCAGCAGTCCTTCGCAGACCTCGGACGGTTGTGCAACAATCGTCTGAAGAGCATGTACCAAGTCTGGCAATCCGAAGCTACTGCTTTGAGGCTTCAAGGAGGCTTGGGCCACCAGGCAGCGGTGACTCTTCTGAGTCAAGAGAAGCTGGACACTCGGCAGAAGACGGACGAGCAGGAGGCCAAGATAGAGGCCCTGGAGTCCGAGCTGAGGAAGCTTCGCAATGAGATGAAGGAGAAGGACATGAAGCTTCTGGCCACCGAGAAGGTGAAAGACAACCACAAGAAGGAATGTGATGAAAAGGTCAGTGCTATGTCCGAGGAGTGTGCACAGAAGCTTCTGGCAAAAGATGAGAAGGTCAGTGCTATGTCGGACGAGTGTGCAAAGAAGCTTCTGGAATGTGAAAATAAGGTCAGTGCTATGTCCGACGAGTGTGCGCTGAAGCTTGTGGCCATGGAGAAGCAGAAAGAGGATCACACGAAGGAGTGTGACAAGAAGCTCAGGGAGAACTCCGAGGAGTGGCAGCGGAAGATGGACTTCCGTGTCGCGGAAGTCGACAAAAGGCATACCGCCATGCGACTACGTGCAGCACACACCTTCGGTAAGTGGAAAGAACGCTGCTCGAATCTGGAGACCAGACTTCGGAAGAAGAAGGATCTTCTACTGAAGAACAAGCTCGAGATTGCCCTTTCCAAGGACTGGCAGAAGCTTCAAAGCTGAAAGCTTGTCGTTTGATCATGCTCTTAGAAACAGCTTGACAGGATCTGTCACGGTCACGGACAAGCAAGCCGCGAGCGGCTCTTCGGCATGCATGCAGTGGTGCTTTTTACATGTAAAACACGTATCAAGCACTCATCTCAGGAAGGACGGCCATCTACTGCTGGACCTCCGGTTCCTTGGTTCCTTCGGAGACACTTGTGCGGCCTCTGTGCTCGTTGTGGTGAGTGATTGACATGTGTCTTTTTGAGGCTTCCGGGACAAATGCTGAAGTTCCCTCAAGGGTGTCTGGGCGTGCATAATCATGGTTCTTTGTCGGTAAAGGGCTTTTCTATGACCTCAAAACTATCATCTCAGGCTGGGCTTGCTTCGAGAGATGGTGCGGAGCCAGTTCCTGGGCCCGCATCGGAATTCTATTCTCGCAGGTTGTACTTATGACATGTCAATTGGCGACATAGGATTCGCAAGTCGCTTTGAGGCTGAGGATGGGGATCCGAACTTTCCCCCTGTGATGCCTCTTTCGGCTTCTGAGCTGCATTTTGCAAAGTTGCGTGTTGATTCTGGGAGCGCTTGGAATGACCCTGCCTCGAAAGGCAGGGGCGGAAATGACCATGCAACCCATCCCGGATGAGGCAGCAGATTGCGGCACGGTTCCGTTGCAGTTTGAAGCGATTACAGATTTGCGAGGAGTTGCTGGTTTCTCCAACGAGCGCGGGCAGTCCAACCAGCCCGGCGGATGGGGATCGATCACGATCTCCAAGATCGACAAGGACCAAAATTGGCTGCATTGTTTCTGCGATGCTTAGATTTCATTGATTCTGACCCTAGTTCGACGATAGGACTGAGCTTCCTGAGTGAGGGCTGCGAGGAAGCAAGCTTCTGAAGGTGCTTGCTGTGCCTGCTTGACGAGCCACATGACATGCCGTTTGCTGTCGCTACAACAGGTTGCATTAGCACATAGCCACATAGCCAGCCTGGTTTCGGGGCATGCATGTGGCCTTTCTTTCAAGCGTAGCTCTACGGCTCCGAGGAGCTCCACAGCCCCCCGATCAAGCCCTGGATATGCTTTAGATCACCGAATATATCCTCCCGCAAGCTGTCGTCGTGAATAAGACCACTAAGTTAGATACCTCGATGTGTGGAGTTCGGTCGGTTTGCGCAGGGAAGTCGCCTGGGATTCTGATTCTGTGGCTGGCTGCCGAAAACAGTTTGCAACAGTGTGCTTAGCATGCGTCCGTGACTTCTCCAATCTTGCAACAGCCGTGATTACTCTTGGTATGGTACCATGATCATGTCACACTCAGGTCTGATTGGTGCCGTCTAGAACGGGAAGGGGAAGGCAAGTCGGACACACAGCTATTTCGGATGCTGGTCTTTGTGCTGCAAGCAAGAGCGAAAGCGAGAGCCAGAGCGAGAGAGAGAGTGGAGACAGCGAGGGAGAGAGAGAGAGAGAGAGAGAGAGAGAGAGAGAGAGAGAGAGAGAGAAAAAGAGAGACAGAGACAGAGCGAGATTACTGCCACCGTACCACCGCTACCGCCACCACTACCGCCACTGCCACCGCTATCGCTACCGCCAGCGCCAGGCACCACCAGTACTACTACTTACTACTACTACTACTACTACTACTACTACTACTACTACTACTACTACTACTACTACTACTACTACTACTACTACTACTACTACTACTACTACTACTACTACTACTACTACTACTACTACTACTACTACTGTTCTGCCACCAGTACTTCCACAACCCTCCCCCCGCCACCCCACCACTACTACTACTAGTACTACTGCTAATACCAAGACGAGACCGACCGGCTAGCTCAGGCTCGGACATCTCTTCGGGTTGATGTCACTGGATCTTCAGCCTTCGGCAGTGGTAGTCGTAGTAGTAGTAGTAGTAAGTAGTAGTAAGAACCCCTCTTCGGGGTTCCGACTCACCCCTCCTCGGGGTTTTCACTGACCCCTCTTCGGGGTCCGGGCTCACCCCTCTTCGGGGTTCTCACTCACCCCTCTTCGGGGTTTTCAGTGATCCCTCTTCGGGATCCGCGCTCACCCCTCTTCGGGGTTCCAGGGCCCCCTCTTCGGGGTCTCGGGAAGCAACCCCTCTTCGGGGTTGCTTCATGCCTGCCTGTGCTGCTCCGGCTCGATGAAGTCGTGTGCCTGACATCCTGACGGGACCTGCTTGCTCGGTTTCTCTCTCTCTCTCTCTCTCTCTCTCTCTCTCTCTCTCTCTCTCTGTCTTTCTCTATCTCTGTCACTCTCTCTCGCTCTCTCTCTCTCTCTCTTTCTCTCTTTTTCTTTGCTTTCCCTCTTTCACTCTGGCTTTGTCGCTCTGTCTCTGTCTGTCTCTCCCTGTGTCTGTCTCTACTCACTCTCTCTTTCTCTCTCTCTCTCTGTCGCTCTCTCTCTCTATCTCTTTCTTGCTCTCTCCACTCTCACTCTCGTCCGTTGCCCCTGCCCCAGGTTCCCCTCTGCATGGTGCCTCCTGTCCCTTGCCCCCACCCCCCCCCCGCACCCCTGCCCTCTACCCCAAAACATTATCCCCAATCACATGAACCCCAACCTCGCTCTCTCTCTGAAGCTTTTTGGTTCTCTCTTTAAAATGTTTGGGTGCGACGTGCAGGTTTAGGGCTGGGGTTAGGGTTCTTGTTGCTTCTTGTGCCTCGGATCTTTCTACTGGTTTCCATTTCAATACGAATCTAAAACTCTCTGCTGTTGGAACAAGACAACTATTTGTTGCCCAAGAACAAGAAATCTATTCTGGACCTAATTTTGTATGCTTCATATTTCACATCAACTTAGGCTTTCTGAAACCCAAAGATTCAAAAATTGTTTCCATGTTTGTCGGTTGACAGCAAGATTCCATGAAAGAGGCGGCTTTGTTTTCAATCCAAAACAGTAACCAACATTTGTTAACACAGCGGTTTCAATTTCAACAACAAAAGAAGTCATGATGCACAGTTCTGCTGTTGTTTGATTTTGCTCACTATCCAATGCAACCTATTTAGGGTTAAGGGCTTAGGGTCAGGGTTTAGGATGTAGGGTTTAGGGTTTTGAGCCGAAACACAGGAAATCCTGGGCTTGTGTTGTTCTTTTCCAAGTCCAACAATGTGCACAAAGAATGGAATAATATGACTCCTGGGAGTCGTTTCCTTTCAGTGTCACATCAGACACACACTGACAAACGCCGTGGGTTTTTGAGCCGATCCTAAGGTTTTTTTCCTTCCCACACCACATCAAAGGACAATCTGTACAATGTTGAGCACATATCTGCGTGGGGGATTGATCTCGACTTGGTTGCTGCTCTCCCCACCAGAGCTGTAATGAATGTAGGTGTGGCTGGCTTGCACTCTCCACAGACTGGACCCTGTCTCTCCCTCTTACTTCCACACGTGCGATCCTATGCAGGCAGAACCGGCGGCCGTTCCTTTTGCACTCACTGCCGGCGGCGGTTCGTCTGTGCAACGGGATAGCTCTGATTGCTCAGGATAGAAGACACATATAGCACTTAGCTATGGGCATTGACTTGAGCCTTGAGCCAAACGTTGCGTTGGCGGTCACATAGAAAGGTAAAGATGAGGGATGCGTAGCATGCCCCCTAGAGTCGAGGGACGCGTAGCGTGCCCCCTTCTCTTGCACTTTACACGGTCTTGCTCACAGCTCTTATAGTGACACCTTAGAACTTGACAAGGCATCGCAGTCCGTTCGCACCCCCCATGAGTTGCGTCTCCGACGCTGCTCACCCGGAAGATGGCACGATAGGACAACAGAAAATGTTCCGCCGCAACGTTGACATTGAAAATCAGAGCTTTGCATCCCAATTAGAAACGTTGTGACACTCATCTACGTCAGTAACGATCCCCTGAAATGACAAACGAATCAGGCGTCACCGAAGAAAGAAGCATTCGCGATGGCATTCCATGGGCGAAGCTCAGAGGTCACGAACTGATAGGCGAGGAAGATCAGGCGTTGTCTCGCCACCATCTTCGCGTTGACGTAGGATCGCGTTCCCAGGGCCGGAGGTTCTCCTCTGGATACTGGTTCCTTGGCTTTCCCTTGTCCTTGCCTTTGTTTCGGCCTTTGGCGGCGATGTAGTCGTGGTAGGAATTGGTGTTCCAGCCACCATGTTGCTCGCCTCCGGTTCTTCCACGCCCTTTTGAAGGTCCCTTGGATGAAGAAGCGCTTTCACGTTCCTCCGTAGTGACAGGCGTGTCCAGGATGGATGTACCACCTGGAGGAAGATAGTCAGCGGCCGAAATGTGGTGTAGGGCTTCCGTACGCTTTGTCGTCGGGTTTTGCTGTCTCTCAGCCTTGGATCTGTTCAATCTGTCCATGAAATGCGCAGGCATTTGCACACTGTGGTCCACCAGCAAGCCGATGGTCTGGACTGACTGATCAGAATGAGTCAGCAGAATACCGACGGGGTCGATGTACAAGAAGTCCACTGGTCCAGTTGGCGTTGGTCGTAGCACTGAGAATTGTTGGTGTCCCGTCACCATTGGAATCACCTCGCACAGGACGTTCAGGCAACAAAAGTGCATAGCCTTTACATCTTCATCCCTGTCGCTCTTCAAGTAAGTAGTAGGGTTGAAGTTGTCCCTGCCAATTCCCATCATGTTGGCTCCCCGTACAAGTAAAGAGAGCATCTGGTTCGTCCGGAAGCGCTTCAAGGTGTAAGTCCCGTTGGGATCATACTGTTTGAGGTTCTCAGGTTCCTTGGCAAAGCGAATGATCTCCTCATCAGTCACGTCCTTGCTCACACCCGTTTCCCTATCCACTGCCGCCAAAGATCCCCACTTTCCAAGCACATCATAGCGTTGGCCAAGTGCGAAACTTTCCCTCATCTGAAACAACGGCATAGTCGCCCACTTTGCGAATCCTGACCAAGCCTTGTAGATGGATCTGCATACCACGTATGCCATGTACGAAAGAGCGGTCATGTTCGCGTCAATGCAATGGGCATTTCGCTTTCCAGAATAGTAAGATGGCTGCA